CGCCAGTTGAATAGGCCTGCCCTATAGGATAGCCATAGCACCCCCTAAGCACCCCCAAGAAATGTAGGCTATGTATTTTTTTTTTTTATGTGTGTGAAATTCATAATTTGAAAAATTATTGATTCGAAAATGATATGCTACAGTACAAGTACGTCTAGGTCTCTGTGTTTCATTCACGCTCGGCTCTGTGTNCACTCGGGAGTTGGTTCTGGGCCGCATCTGGCCCGCGGGCCGCCAGTTGAATAGGCCTGCCCTATAGGATAGCCATAGCTCCCCCTAAGCACCCCCAAGAAATGTATGTATTTTTTTTTTTAATGTGTGAATATCAAATGATATGCTACAGTACAAGTACGTCTAGGTCTCTGTGTTTCATTCACGCTCGGCTCTGTGTGTGTGTGGAAGGAGCCGTTTTGTGTGCGTGCGCGAGCGAGAGAGAGCGCTCACCGGTACCGGAGATTGTTGTTGTTAGCATCTGGTGCTAGCTAGCTACGCTAACGGATATAAGGAGCTTTTTCAACAACAAGGTGGAGGGAGAACTCTCACCTGTCAGACTGAGAGGCTCAGATATCAGCTCAGGTGAAGTAAAGGACTCTCAGTGTTTAGATTACCCACTGAGATTAGTTATTTCAGTGGGTCTCAAACGGTTTGGTCATGATTAATGTAAACAATTATTTCCGAGGCACACGTTTATATGATCATTATAAAAGAAATAAGAGAATAAATGAAAAACAGTTATGAGATACTACGTAAAACAACAATACAGTTTAAAAAGGGAGTGATTTGTAAAATATCCATAAAGAAAAAGTAAATCTGTTTCTGTTTCATATGGGTGTTGAGAGATGTATCCATAGATCTCTTAATTTTGCTCTCAAAGTGCACCAGATTGATGCATTTAACTTCAATATTTAAAAAAGAATCTTCCCGGAGGAGCTTGCCCCCAGACCCTAGGTCCACTCCCCACTTATAAAAATAGCACTTTACCCATGCTTACACCTATATGCCGTGAGCTGATTATCGAGCCTTCATTGTAACTGTCGCAGGTACACTGTGTATTTGCGTGGGGAGTGTTGCAGTAGAAAGTTCAACTGTAGCGACCGGTACATTAATGGGAAACCCTAAATGTTTGAGCACCCTCTTTGAAACGTCAAGCTACCCCACAGCACCCCCAAAAGAAAATCTCTGGCGCCGCCACTGAGCCTGCAACCCCGTTTTGAAGAAATGTGGAGTGCCAAACAGGCTCATTGCAGCCACTAATGCTGTGATAAAACACACCTTTTTGCCAAACATCAGCATTTTCTTTCTTTTCATTTGTTTGCACAGATTGCAAAGTGGCAAAGTATTATAACTTATTGTTCT